CCGTCCAGGTGACCCGGGCAGCTCCTCCTCTTCAGCGCCTTCCTCTTCGCTTTCTCCTCCTGTTGCAGTGAAGCCAGGCTGCGGGGTTTATTTTTTTTTATTTTTCATTTCCCCCCACCCCCCCTTAAAGGTTTTCTCTCTCCTCTCTTCCCTTCTCCTTCCCTTCTCTCTTGCCCCAGGCTACGCACCAGTGACGGGGATGTGCCACCCGCTCCGCAGCTGCACCCTCAACCACGAAGACGGCTTCTCCTCGGCGGTCGTCGTCGCCCACGAGACTGGCCACGTGTAAGTCATGGGGATGGCTGTCCCCTTCGGCGGGGGGGGGCAAGCGCGGGGGTACCCCTTTCTCTCCAAAAGGCACTTTCTGCTGGCGCAGGCGGACCGCCGCGGCACACAGTGGGCTGGTGTAAATCCCTTGGGAACCGGACTTTTCCACCGGGCTTTTCCCACCAGGTTAGGCATGGAGCACGACGGCCAGGGCAACCGCTGCGCCGATGAGACCAGCATGGGGAGCATCATGGCACCACTGGTCCAGGCCGCCTTCCACCGCTACCACTGGTCCCGCTGCAGCAAGCAGGAGCTCAACCGCTACATTCAGTAAGTCGATTTTAACCAAGAGGGGAGGGGACGTTCCCCCTTCAGACGGTGTGACTGCCTGCATTTTGTAGCCAAGAGCTCCTGCGGGAAGCAAGCAGTGGACAAGTCCCCATTGGGATTGCTCGTTTTGGGCAGAATAGCAAAACCAGATCCTTGGGAGGTTATTTTTCCCTTTTTCTTCTACTAGCAGCTCTGGTTCCTTGCAGGAGTCTGAATTGGTTTTGGGCTGCGGAGGCTGGAGGCAAATAGGAACCTGATAAAAGCTGGAGATGTCGACGGAGCGATAGTTTGCAGCAGCTCTGTGCTGGTGGAGCTCAGATCCAGATCTTGAACATTTTTGCTTTGGGCAGCCCGTGTGGTTTCCTCTTTAGGCTATAAAATGTTTTGTGCTGGATTACGAAAAAGGGGTGGAAACAGGCCAGGAGCTTTGTGTGTGTCGGGGCCAAGAAGAGTAGCAGGCAAACAGGTGGCGGTGGTGGTACCCACTCGTGCCGAGGTGCCCCGTCCCCTAGGGAGCTGCAGGCGGCGGAGGGATGCTTGTCTTTGGGGGACACAGTTGGTCTTTGCTGGAAACGTGTTTTCCAGCGGTGGGGAGTTAGCATCAGCACCAAGATAATTCGCATTTCTCAATATCTGAATTTGGAGAGAGGGTTGGAGGTGAGGGAGGGGGTGAAGGAGGGAAATCCTCCGTGACTGAGTCTGCTTTGCCTCTGCCCTGCATCTCTGCAGCTCCTATGACTGCCTCCTGGATGACCCCTTTGAGCACCAGTGGCCCACGTTGCCCGAGCTGCCGGGCATTAACTACTCCATGGACGAGCAATGCCGCTTCGACTTCGGCGTGGGCTACAAAACCTGCACGGCGGTGAGTACGGTGGGTTGCACGGCCGCATCGCTCTCCCCTACCCCGGGACCCCCAGCCAGGCGCTGCGGGGGCGAGGATGGGGATGCCGTCAGCTGGCCGGGACTCCCCGCTGCCATCCCAGCCTAGCTCCTCTGTGCTCCCCAGTTCCGCACCTTCGACCCCTGCAAGCAGTTGTGGTGCAGCCACCCAGACAACCCCTACTTCTGCAAGACCAAGAAGGGACCACCCTTGGATGGGACCGAGTGCTCTCCGGGCAAGGTAGGGGCTGGTCCTGCTTGTCCCCCTCCCGGGGAGGGGACAGGGATGCCCTCAAGGGCAACAGTCAGTGGGTGCCTGGTTTTTAGCTGGCGTTATTCCTTATTTTCCCCGGTTTGTGCTCGGATGAGGACTTTGTTTTCCTTCTGATCTGCCTGCTTCTGCAGAGAAGCAGGACTCGTCTTGTCACCTGGGGAAAGAGCGATGACATCATTGCACGTCCAACCTCATGATGCCATCAGGCTTTTGCTTTAGGCTCTCTTAGCATGCCCGTTAGCACAGTATGAAAGCGTGGGTACGTTGGAAAAGCTGCTGGCCCACGTAGATCTTGGGTGGTTCCTTGCCGGAGAACGGCTGGGCGTAAAGGGTCCAACCACTTTTGATGACTTTCTCTATAAATCCCAGCAATTTCACTGAAAACACAGCCTCCTCGAGTGCTTCAATGAGGGTTTGCCAAAAGCTTCCAAAACGAAGCTGTTTGAAGCGTGTACAGATGTGTTAGACGTCGTGCTGGCGCGGGGCTCCAGGGGACTGCAACATCTGGACTGGGCGGTCCACGGGGCTGGTCAGCGTTTTGTCCCTTTGGGGACCTTCCCTGCGGTGGCCACCGAAGGCTTTTCTCCAGGGCTGGAGTTAAACCCCAGGTCTGAGTGCCCGTGGGGTGACACTGCAGCTTCGTGCCAGGCGTTGTATACATGTATAGGAAGAAGTGCGGAGCTCAGGATTTCGTTTACCAAAATGCCCAGCCGCTTGCTGCTGTGCTCCATGCCAAACTTTGGGTTCATCCCCCACCCTGTGCCAGCGGGAAGACATCCCCGGGACTGATCCAGCCCCGGACCCAGGTGTAATTCAGTGCCTGCCCAAGGATCTGCATGGGTGGAGGCAGGCAGTTTGGCTGGAGAGAGAAAACCGGTCCAGGAACTCAAAAATACGATGTTACAGAAAGTAAACCAAAGGGATTTGTTTTGCAGAGGGATCTTTGCGTGCCCCAGGCTTGTGCCTTCGGCAGCCGTTTGCACGAGTTGGTCCTTCTCCATCCTCATCTCTCCATCCGTGCATCCGCGCGGCTTGTGTATCGTGTCCGGAGCAAATCACACCACCTCTGTTGGCCCGCTTTGCCAGCTATGATTTAAAAAAAACACCCCAAAACACTTGCAAACGAGTAAACCCCAGAGAAAAACATGACAATATAACACAGCTGCCAGCTCGCCAGCTGATGTAAACCACCACCGTGCAGGCTCTTCTTTACCAGATTCAAGCACAGATGTGTTGGGAGCCTGCCCTGCTTATTCCTCCTCCTCCGCTGCATTTTCTGCTGCGAGTCCTGGCCGTGGAGCTGTGGTGGGTTCTCGGAGCAAAGCCGTGGGCTGCTTCTGCTCCTGACTTGGTCTTGAAATGATGCAGCTTGCTCATCCCTAAACTAGCGTGGAGGGGAGCCCTGCTGTCGCATACCCAGGGACGACCCCTGGTCCTTCTTCCTATGGTAGGGACGTGCCCGAGGGCGTGATGAAGAGCACCTTCCTCCCGCGCTTTGCAAACTGTGAGCTGTTTTTGTAGCGCTGTGGATGCCGGAGGGCTCTCTTTGCTGGTGCCAAGCTCTTTGGAAGAGGCAGGCGTGGAGCCGACCCCTTCTTTCTCCTCTCTTCCAGTGGTGCTTCAAGGGACATTGCATCTGGAAGACGTCGGAGCAGCCTTACAGCCAGGACGGCAGCTGGAGCTCCTGGTCCAAGTTCGGTTCCTGCTCCAGGACCTGCGGAGGAGGGGTGCGCTCTAGGAGCCGGAGATG